GCATAATATTCCTCTTTACTGGATGTTGGATGGCCTCCAGATTAATGTATGATTTTAATACATCAAATCACTTTATATCTCATAAAACTGAATAAGTTTAGAGCGTGTAGGGATAGGATCGTGAGTTTTATAGAATAATTTATTGTAATATGTTTGCAAAAATGATACCCTGCACTGATGATGTCAGTCATTAGGCATAGGAAATCTTGACATGCTATTAGCGGAATCAAAGGAGATTTTCTCCACAACAGCGACAACAAGAACTTTCCAGTAAATCCGGCCCGCAGCTGGCTGTTGTCTTCTGGTGGGATTCGCAATCAAAGATCTTCATCTTCACACACTTTGACTCGAAACGGAAGTGAACCCAACAATTCTTATTTGCAATCCAAGTCCACCGTCAGTTGCCTCTGGCCTCACCTGCTGGGAGCACTTCACCTGCCCGACAAAGACCTTGCGTATTTTCACACTTTACTTTCACTCCATACGATGGATATTCCCATTTGGTGCCTTCGTAACTGCCGCCAATCTTTAAAGGCTGCATGTGAAAACGATTTTCAGGAGATGACTTGACATCCAATGGTAGATGAGAAGCTGGACTCCAGTTCGTGTTATGTAGGTCACAGAGGATCAGAAGAAAGCGCATCACGTCTCCTTCGAGGTCGAGGTCGGGACAGGCTTCTGACGCTTCTTCCTTCGGCGAGAGGGCGGAGGTTGGGGCCATACCTTCAAAGAGAATAGAACGTCATCTCCTGACCCTTTCGGTCTAGAAAAGCATTTATAGGGCTTGTCTGGTGGACCTATCGTAAGTGCTATGTGAATTCCGTTTATTAGTGGGTGGAATAGGCTGGCTTCGCCAGCCGCACCGGACTCAACCCTCTGGTAAGTATACTGGCATATAAACCAAAGCAATAAAGATACAGGCACAGTTAAACCGCCGGTGCGCACACACGAAGTTCCAGAGTAAGTGCTGACTAACGAGTGAAAACGTACTTGGCAAAAACAAGCATCTATCACGAACTGGTACAGAGTTAGCTCAGTAAGACAATCTTTTATCATTGCCTTATCGCTTTTACAGGACCAAAATTTTGTGAGTACAGGAAATAAATAAATCAAAAATAAAGTGAATGCTTTTCATGCCATATACAAAGGAATTCCCTACAAGAGCTTGTCTCAAACTAGTAGGTTTGCTGATTATGGTACGTCGGTGGTTAAAAGAAAGATAAGAGAGGCTATTGAGATTAATAGCTTAGGAAATACATTC